AAAATTACTTTTAAACTAGTGCTAAAAATATAAAAGAAAAACATGACTAATATAAAAAAAAAAGAAAGAAAGAAAATCAAAAAAAGAAAAACAAAAAAAAAAAAAAAAATTAATAATTGTAAGGATTAAAAGGAAACTTATACAATAAATACAATAATCAATAATAAATAAGACAATTCACCGCCGGTTATAATGATTTCTAACAAATATACTTTTTACTGTTCATGTTATTCTCGAAATAATGTATACATTATTCATTTACAAAGCCCATTAAAGTATCGAAATAAAAATTGACAACAATGAATATAACTCTTTTTAATTAATAAGAAATAAACTTTTCAACATTATATTAATTCATAAAGTACATGGTTCTGTTTTGGGGGAGATTACAAATTTGTATCATGTCCAAGGATCTCTCCAGAACTAAGCAAACATAAAACACTAATGCATCCCTTATAAAAATTTAATGAATGTTTGAAACATACCGTGACACCTACCTCGAGAAATCTTCTGCTTTCTCTGAATTCCAAGCACGACACAATGAAAATTACTGTATGGATTATGAACATTGTTAATAATCTATCTAAAAATTCTGATCAACATCTTTATAAGCTCACCAATACTTTAAGGCAAGTAGTATCCCGACATTGCGATGAAAAATTACATAACAAATACATTCCAGCAAATCCAACGCAAAAAATTACAATAAATAACAGGCATTACCTAGCATCACCAGAAGAAAATGATATTATAAAGGCAAATAAAGTCTATTTGCGCCTATTAGCAGGTTTTCTTTTTCGCGATTACCCATCATCAATCGTGAGCATAGTGAAACACCTGTTCGTATGTATATGTTTGTTAAATGATGTAATATACGGAAATGACAATTATTTAGTTTAAATACCTGAAAGTTGTCATAAAGTAATTCATTTTTAGAGTTATAATGAAACTGGTAATAGCATGGATCGCAAAAATAAGCAGGAGATTCGCCCGATATAAAATCGTTAATAGTCACAAGACTGCATTGCATAGAGATTGAAAAACCGATTAACAATCTAAACCTACAAACACTCCAAGAAATAACGATATACATACAGGGTCGGTCGTTGCATACACATACGACATTTATGCCGGTTAATTTTGCCACGGAATACAGCTTTTGGATAGGCTGTCAAATCCTGGTCATCATATGGTTGCATTATGCTACAAAGTTTTATTAAATAAACGAGTCAGATAAAACGCGAAGCTAGCAACAGCAATTAAGTTAAAATCAAAACCATTACCGCAAATCTCTGAATACCACAGCGTGCTGGCAATTTCCCTGATGGACGAATAAATAAGGATAATTCAATCTTACTGACAATTCAACAAACGTCATTTCTTCCATCTTTTTACTGCTGTAGAGACCCAGCCCGCGTTGTTTATACAGATTTTTTTCCTTTACCCATTCTATAATATTTCTAAATATTGACAAATGTTAATAAATTATAGTGTGAATTGTAGATTCTCTCGAGGTTGAATCTCGTAAATAAACATACTTGCTATAATCAATAGCTCTTGGATCTCGTAAGTCATTATAAAATACATTTTCAACAAAAAAGTAGCTGGATGAGGTTTTCTTATCCGTCAAGTTTGTTATAGCATTTTGTGTCGGTTGCTCCCATGGTGTAACTTTATAAAAATCTCGAAGGCAATAAAAAGCATCCCTCAAAGCTGTCAGAGGTTGACTTCCCAAAACAAGAAATTCTTGCATACGAGTGGCCGGTTTATTCTGATTATAAAATGCAACTGAAAGAATGACTTCGTGTTTATTCACAGCACTTTGCGATTTGGGAAGTCCTTTATACTAAATTCATTAAAAGTTTGATAAGTTTGATATTAAAGAATTAAAGAATTAAAAAAAACTTACGCTTTTAGATGCTATATAATTCATTTCCGTGCGAATCTTAGGAACCTTAATTCTATTTTCCTCCCTAAAAAAGTCCAATTAATCTTCCATTCCATATGATTATTAATAGCAATTTCTTGCTAAGTTAGGGCTTACTTTAGGCTTGCCAAAGGAGAATTATCCAACTCTTTTGCCATTTCCCAGAATCTTAATTCCAAAGCTGACGGCTCTGGTCTTATGCTCGTTCCATATTCCGTTATATGATCTGAAAGAGAGCTTTTGTTTGACGAATTAAGTCGTGGTTTTGAATCTCGGTGGCCAAAGCCTAACGAATTTGATTTTGTTGGCAAATTATTTGAAAAAATGTCGGTAGCGTTATTAAACGGAATAGGATGTGCCAAAATTGATCTATGACCTTTATTATTTCCCGATTTCAAATAATCTATATTCCTTTTTTGTGGTATTATTTTTGTCTGATTTTGTGTGGAGGAAAGTGACTCTTTATTTTTTCCTTTGGATTTTCTAGCGATGCCCGTGGAATCAGGCTGCATAGGTAAAGACGGAAGCGACAAAGTAGGTGATCCAGTGCTACTACTAGATCCGCTATGATACTGACGGAGGAGACAAAAAATTGTTGGATCAACAAAAAATTGGCTAGAGAGCTTTAAATATTCATTCACACTGTAAGATTGAATAAACAATGTGTAAATAAAGTTCCCGTTAATTAATAAGCAAAAAAAAGAAAGAAAAAGTTTGACCTGCATCTATCTTTGATTTCCTTATTCTGCTTTTTTGTAAGCCTTTCTGAAAGTTGAAGCTCCTTTTGAATACTCTCTTCTTGATTCCTTAATTCTATACTAAATGAATCCAGGAATTTTTGAACATTAATCAAGTCAGTTGGTTCTCCTGGATCAAGATACCATGTCTTCTCTTTCTTCGGAGAAAAATCAGATGCTGCATTTCCATCATCTGTAGGCGTATATGCTATCTCGCTTGTGCTATCTGACAAAGGACGGTTTGTTGTATTATTTTCAATTAACGAATCGGAATTTAGTTCAGTACATACTAGAAAATCAGAAACAGTCGAACCGTCGATTGCGAATGAATGAATGGGTGGAGATAAGACATTATATTCGCCCTGTAAATTCGAGTCTTCGATCTCCTGAATATTGTATGGATTTGACCGGTTTGCGTCAACACCATTTTCTTGAATAGGAAGCTGTGAATGATCACTCTGCAGCCTAATATCAAATTCTTTCTGCCCTGAAAGGATGAAATTTTGACGCTCTCGCGACTTGGAGATCTCTGAAATTTGTTCCGGGGACGAAAAACAACAGTAGTCCTCACTTAAAGTCAAATTCCCAGAGGCAACCGTGATACTAGATGGAGAAGGTTGAATCATGTTATATTTGTGTATAGAGGCTGATTTATGAAGGTCTTTACATTCTCCGTTAGAAACCTCTTCCCCAATGTGATCTAGAAATGAATTAATCGAAGAAAGTTCTTTTCGATTTTCTTTATCCATACACAAAAATAACGAAATAAAAACTCGCATAAAAACGCATATCATGTGACTAAATTGTCGCGACAAAAAGGTCTATATAATTGATTATTTATTTTTTATCAGGTTAGCTGATTCTCTGATCGCATATAAACAAGATATTTGCAAGAAGTTGTTTATACTTCATTGTCAATAAAATCTTATCATATTTTTTAAGAGAACTTCAAAAGTCATTTCTATTTTCTTTTCTTTTTATTAATATATCTCTTCAAATAAAAAATTGATTTCTAGTAATTCAAAAGTTATAAAATATCTTTTTATCAATAACAAAAAAGTTTTGAAAGAAAATATTGCTTTTTTTTTTTTTTAACCCACAATTATGTTGAAATGGCTTGTCTTTATTAAGATACTTGAAAAAATGTCAAAATAATTTGCAAACCTTCTCATATAATGATTAATTTATCTTTATATATTATTAGTTAAAATATTACACTACTTAAAAATATGAGGAGTCCATTAAGCTAGTTTGAATTAAACAAAACTAAGTCTCAACTAGATACTCTAAGTCAAATTTAGGGAACAATATTATGCTTTTCTAGTAGCTTGGCATAGTATCACTAAGTCAACCAGGGTCATTGTTAATAGTTTGTTACTATTGATTATTCTGAAAAATGATAAATTGTTAAAGTTGAACTGGAAAAAAGAAAAAAGAAAAACAATTCAAAACTTTTCAAAAGATTTTTTTTCATTTCACAATCTTTTCTCAAAAGAAATCTTGCTTAATTGAGATATTTTTCTTTACTTTATTTGAACCTCAAAAGGATTTTTTTTGTCACCATCTGTGGTATTGGATAAATTATTATTTAAGTATGTATTGGATTGAAATAGTCCAAGAGAAACCAAAAAACCTCAACTTCTATTTTAGGGAACCTTTTCACCACTTGAGAAACTTAGAGAAGGGATGAAATTTTTTTATGTAAATTCATCCCATCTTTTAATATCATAACTGTTTTTTGGGATTGAATATACTTAGTCGATGGAGAATTTCTTCTAGAACTTTCTTTTTTATATCACCAATAATATAATAGAAACATATAAATATGACCAATAGGAGCTTGTTTACTTTTCCTGAAATCAATGTATTTCATATTAGCCAATTATCTTTGGTGAGAATTTGTGTTATCCAAAATTCAGGATCAAACTGAGGTAGACAAAATTTCCTAAAAAACAATAGCTCTAAGAGGCTCAACAATAACTGAAAGGGAAAAATAAGTTCTTTTGTCATCAAAAACCTCTATATACCTTTTACTTCAAAGATAAAGAAGGTCTTTATATACTTCACTATTGATTCTTTTTCCTTTAGAAACTTTCTTACCATTAATATCAAAGGTGTTACTTAACTTATTCTTAGTCACCAAAAATCAAGTTTTTGATCAAAAAGGATTGTAAACAAATAAGAAGGGGATAGAAATGACTCTTGAAGTCACTCTTCAAGGTGTTTTAAGAAAAGTATTAAAGACTTTATTAGCAAAAAAGCAAAAAACTTCTTGCGAACATATTTTTTATATGTGATCAGAGGATCAGTGAAAAGAATTTTTTTGAAAGAAAGTATTGCTATTAATTTATCTATTAAAGAAATATTATAGAGTTGTGTAAGAGATAAAAGATTTATTGTCAACAATATGAATATTACTACAGATCACAAGGAAACATGAAATTCATATCCTAGAAATTCTGATCAATTTATCTAATAAGTATAATCAAAAGAAAAAATTATGGGTAACACAAAAAATCCTTAATACAATTTCTATACAAGAAGACAATCCTAACCTAGTCCCTAGTTCTACAAGATGCTCAATTCTAAATAGAATTATAGCTAAAATTCTCAACATTGACCATACCACTTTCACTAAAGCTACAATCCTAAGACAATATAGTATATTCTATATTTATGAGCTCAAGGACAAGAAAAAGAGAATGATTTGCTAGCCCCCTTCTTGGAAGACAAATATATAGAACTGATAGAACAAGAAGAAAAAACATATTGGTAGTAATAAACAAAGTAAGAAAATATAGTTCCAAACAATCCATATTCAAGTTTGACAAAACTACTAAATAAAAAAACAATTATGGAAATTCAACCAATATACACAATAAAAGATTCAACAATATCGAAATAGAAATGAGTGATAAAGAGATTGAGAATCAATTGAAAATAGAGCAAATTCAAGAAGAAGTCAAAGAAGACAATATTGTAGAGCTACAATCCTACAATACTAGAAATAGATCAAAATTAATTAGAATTAATCCATTTCATATTATCAAAAATGAAGCATATAAACTGGAAACTTTAATATTTAGAATATCAGGAGAAAGTAAAAAAGAAAGAATGACCTATCTCCAAAATACCCTTAGCTTATCAAAGAAACTTCAACTATGTGCAAAAGAATTTCTCAATAGTAATGCTTGAATAACCTTCACTTTCAAAGAAAAAAAAGATGCTCTGAATTGTTTAGAGAAAGTCAACACAAAAAAGGGTGAGAACTTTATAATAATATCTATAAGTATAGAAAAATGAAAAAGTCAGAATTTCCATCTAATAAAAAGGTCTTCAGGGAAAAAATAGAAGAAGAGAACAAAGATCTATTTATAACACTAATTGATATAGATCATAGCTATATATGGCAAGAAGTTAAGGTAGCTTTACAGATATATGGAAAACTCATCAATATTTATATATACAACTACTCAAGATCACAATGAAGAATCATGGCATAAATTACTCCTCATAAATGAAACAATAAGTTAAAAGATTTATAGATAATTCCCATTAAAACAGAAGTGATCAGGGCTATTTTCACTCAACACGAATCCACTGATCAAGAAGTAGACAAAATTAATAAAGAATGCAATAACTAGTCTTTAAGGCTATATAGAACATATAATGCCTTCACAAGCTTATTAGTACATGCTTTAAAACAAACCAAAGCAAAAGCCTGCTATATATCTAGAAACCCATATACATTCAAGAGAAGAGGATACATAGTTATATATTTTGCAGCAGTAGAAGATCTTAATAAAGTACTTAAACAGCACAGCTTTTTATATAGACATAAACTTACATGGAGTGCTAAAGAATATTTAAAGATAGATATGTAACAATAGGATGAAACCATAGAAGAAGCAAACAGCTTACCAGAAAAGGGACATGAAAAAGCAAAACATAGAATTAATAGTATTCACATTAAAGGAACAGATGAATCTAGTACAGCCCAACATAATAATCACTTGGATAGAACAGATATTAGATTCAACAGAAAACCTATATGGAGAGAAACCTTTATAGAAGAAACTGATCCTGGATATGATACAAAAAACTCTGATATAAAGTCTGAAAAAAGAAGAACAAGATTTTATAGAACAAATACAAGAAAGTTAAGACTAAGATGCAACTAACAACCAGCAACAGGAAGCAATAAAAAACTGATCAATACATAGAAGAGAAGATATAGAATACATAGTTCCAGAATCACCAACAATGTGATTATTGAATTTGAAGCAGAACAAAATCCATTGCAACAAATTCTATATAGCCTAAACAAACTAAACAGCAGAATGAGTCACATTGAAAAAGAGATCCAACCCTATTCTGAATCTATAAGATGGAAAAGAGCTAATCACTCCTAAAAGTTGCACCAGTCCAAATAAGAAACACCAGTAAAGAATAAGATCTACAAGAAGAATCTAATACTTCCTGAATCAAAAACAATTTCAAAGATAACAACATAACAACAAATACATTCTTTTCAAACAATCTTCCTACTACTACATAACACTTAAACAACTTTATCAAGTCGATTAAAACAAATACTATCAACAAGAATCTTAAAGAACAAACAATATATCTGAATGATACATTGCAATTTACTATAGAAGAAATCATAACTATAGGAACACACAACATAAGAGAAATAAATACAATACTAGATCAATAGTGTTTATATAATAAGATACAAGAACTAGATATAGGAATCATAGGTATCAGTGAAACAAAACTAAGGAGTGAAGCAGCAGAACACGTCTTCAAGTTCCAAAAGACACATAAATTCTTCTACGGTTGTAATGATATCAAATATAGAGAATCAGGTATGGGTCTTCTTATAAACAAGACATATGAAAAGAAACTGGAATCGATTGAAAAAATAAAGGCTATATTATAGGTGCAAACTCCCTCTTAAAGAAATATAAACTATGTATATACCAAATCTACTTGCTATACGAAAAGACAGAAAATAGATAACTTCAACAAATACTATAAAAAAAAATTCTAAACAAACAACGACAGAAATTCAAGATCATCATTATAGAAGATTTTAATGCAGTAGTAAATCTAATAATAGATCGACCCCATCTGAAAAGAAGGCAATTTAGTACAAAAAAGCTGAAATTGATATCTTCAACTTCTTAGAAGATTGGAACTTTACTGATATCCACAATATATGGGAACAAAACAAGAGTACATACACATGGTATAATAATTATGCTTATAGTAGAACTGATTATATCTAGTTCACAACTAATATCAATCAAAAGAATCTAAATGATTTTAAAAACATTTCAACAGAGTCAATTACAAATAATAATTATACTTTTCTTCTAATCAAGTTAACAAATGACAACTTGTTAAAAGATAAACAATATCTAAATCAGAAAAGAATATAAGGCAAAAAGATCTTTGATTCTGTCAACTCAATACAATGGGAAAAATTTAAATAATAGATTGAATCCAAAATAATAAAATATGATTAATTACACCTATACACTGAAAACTCAATATGAACTCAAACAAGGCTGGATTAAGCATGACAGGAACTTGAAAATATTCTTGTCAAAGGTGCATATAGAACTCTTAAAAAGAAAAGAATATATTCAACATCAGAAAAGAAAAGTTTTGATTTTCCAATAAATAAATAAGAGTACAAAGCTTATAGAGAAGTTAACAAAGTCCACTACTTGCTAAAAAA